CCCCCCCCCCCCCTCCCAACACACACACACACGTGCACAGGTAGAATTCCAGCATTCTAAATGGCATGAGGCTCACGTGAAAGGAAGTAAACTAAAGTTATTGGACAGATAGTCATGGTCACTCACTATCAGCTTACACAGAACAGTCTGGCTGCACACACACATTGACGATCAGCCTTACTTCCTTTCACTTTTGCGTACGTGTTCACACAAACACACAAAGTTTGTGTTTCATTGCGCAGTGCCTCTGTTAAACTGCATTACTTTCCAAGAGATATGTTTAGCGCATAACAGATGGTGAAACGATATGCAACAGAATAAAAAGCTGCTATAGCAGCTACACAAAACCATGATCATATTTAAACAAACAAATATCTCCAGAATTAATTCATTGAAATGTATAAATAGCTAAACTTCGCAAGAAATCATTATAAGTGGAACAGCAGGAGGTTTAGTGTAAATGGTTCAACTATAAAAATGTATTTTTAAATGATTCATCAGACCTTTCACAATGTCTTTAGGATTACAGTACAATACTTTTACCAGTCTCATAATCATAAACAGCCATTCCCATCACCCAGTATTCATTTACTTTGAAAAGCTCCAATACAACGCTAAGTAAATGGTGGAAGACTACAGAGGCTAAATTACACCCAGTTCTGTAATTTATCCTAGACTTTTAAACAGATCAATCATCAGTCATCTAAAGAGAAGGTGGTGCCAGACAACGCAGAGCTGAGTGAGGGGACAAAATGAAGAAAATGATCTCCAGACAGAAAAAATAATGGCTACATTTATAAAAAGAGGAAAAGAAGATTAACCTCCTCTGAATGAGATTACTGGCATTATGATGGGCAAATGCCTTTAGACAGGTGTGTGCACGTTTATGGATTTTTGTGTAAGAGTGTGCTTTTTTTAAATGTATAATAACATTCATAATGGCCTTGTATATTTTTAGCAAACACTCAAAGGGGTTTCCTGGAAATTGCACATGAGAAGCTACTTTTATCTGCCAGGAAGTCTGACTTATAGCTCCCTGATTTGAAAATTGGAGCCGAGGCGAAAACACAGAACAGCATAGGTGTGCGACTACAAGGTTGAATAATAGTTGTGGAGTGAACTCATGCAAATTAAATGAATACGAGCATAAAACATCACTGAACTGAAGAAGAAAAAAGAAAAAAACAGGCTGGAATGTAAATATTTGAGTGCAACTTCATTTATCTGTTTTCAGTTTAGTAACCACTCAACTGACTCGGCATATCAGGACATCTGAGCTCCATTACTGCCCCCAAGAAAACGACTCATATAATGAATAGGAAGCGATAAAGCCCTAAATATGTATGCTTTTTTTGTTGTTCAAATTGAGCTGTGTGTTAATGATGGCTGGTAGTGTAGACAGTTTATAAGTTTTACATTTTAGGAGTGCAAGGAAGCGCAAAGAAAAACACAAACAAATTTATAGTATTAATAAAAAACTTTGGCTCTGAAATATAAAGTGATCACATGGGATTCAATCAATAGTGCCAGCTGTATAGAGGAAAGCTACTTACATCTAAATAACTATGCATCACTAAGACGACAGATAGTTTATGTTGGCAGTAAAACATGACAGTCCATCATACTGAGCACAAGCGTCCCCCAAGGATGTGTACTCAGTCCTTTCTTAGTTCTGCTAACATAGCAGCGCTGCTGAATTTAGCATAAATACAATTGCTAAGTTTGTTGATGACTCAACAGTGGATAATCTTATCTTACAGAGTTAAGGGGAAACAGTTAAGATGGTATATTGTTGGGTTGCAACCGTTGAGAGACTAGATGGTGATTCAGACTTGCAAGAAAATACGGGAATTCAACTTTGTAGTTTTGTAGACACGTGTTTTTGACCAGTTTGCTGTGAGACTGCATTTTTGAGCAGCTAGTCTTTGAAACTTTTGGCCTATTTTTGTGTACAGGACTTGCAAAACGGCATTCTTGTCTATGCACATTATTTTGTTGTCCACTTCCACCCTCAACATATCTGCCTCAGCTAATTTTTTTACCTACCTTTGCAGCTGCCTCTTTAATGATTTAATCTGCTGGAGTGCACTTTAGAACCACGCAAATTTTGCCAACATGTTCAAAACTCAAGCTTTATGACTGCATGCCTTTGTGACGCAAGCGAAGAAGTTCAGAACCCAGCAACATTTTCAAGACATTCTGAAGACTTTCATGATGAATGCTGTTTGCCAATTTGTTACAGCTCACCTGGTGAAATACCAACTCTACAGAGCTGTTGTGGAAATAATCTATCTCCTAATGTTAATAACATCTATTCCCTCAACCTAACCAAACCAATCCTGGCTAAGAAGTTCAGCAGAGAATAACCTTCCTCAGAAACAGAAGCATGTGAGTGTCTGTTCTTTCTGAGCTCTTACCTCAGCGTCTTGTTTCTGTAGGCTGTAGGTTCTTTGCAGAGCACGCATTAATGCCACGCTTAGCTCCGATTCTTCCAGCAGAAGTTCCAAAAGCATCACTAGCTGGTCTGACGTCAGCTGCGGAAACAAAGCTTCATGAAATTAAAAGCCACCCTCATAAGTTACTCAGACATGTTATTAAAAATACGAAGAAAAGTTACAATTGTCTTACAGACAGCAGCGATAAACAAGCAAAAATGTCTAGACTCACAGACTTCATTTAAATATTGCCCACCTCCTCACCAGCACATTCATACTGTTTTCTACAAGTTTAATTTTCTTTTTTTGTGCTGTGACAACCTTGATGAAAAGATTAATAGAAATAAAGCTATTAATCAAGCTTTTCAAACAAAGGAACAGGTGGAAAAATATAACAGACCAGAGAGTGTAATTAAATAAATATGGTAAATCAAGTGGATCGCGTGCTACTGAGAAATATTACAAAACGGGCATAAATTAAAGTAGATGAAGGGAAAATATTACATTCTGAAGCGGAGACAGAGAAAACGATTAGACAAAGAGACAATGTTCTCTTTGTAGGTTTTGAACCAAAGAGGGACACACTGTTCAGGAACACATGGCCATAAAAGACTTGTTTGTTTGAACATTTGTGCTTTGTAAGCTGTAAAACAGACCAGACTGCAGCAATTTCTGGGATTCAAAACAGAGGTGATAAAGAAGAAACTATTTGACGCCTAGTTGTTGCTTAATGAAACTGATCACTCAACCTGAGGTGGATCGGGAGTAAACAGCCTATTTTCTTCTGATGAAGAACATCTTCAGGGACAAATATTCTGGGAATCCACGTGGGCAGCCGTATGAGAAGTGGCTTCCTTCCTGTGAGGACAGCTGTGCCCAGCCTTGCCTGCCTCTCTGCTGGGTACACCCAACACTCCCAGCAACACTTTTCCTCTGCTCCCAGCCAGGGACACAATTAATGGCTCCGGGCCCCATGGAGACCAATGTGAAAATGAGCATGAATTTTGTATGTGACTGAGCGAAGCAGAGTGAGAATGTAAAAGGAAGAAAAAAAAAGTGAGGACCCAAAAGCACATCCTATCTTAGAGAGTGTAAAAAAAGAGTTTCAGCTTTTCTGACCATAATTAGCATATTTTTTTAAGGAAATCAATGTTGGGCTCTGTGATGGACTTGGACTTGTCCAGGGTGTACTCCGCCCCTCGCACAGTGAAAGCTGGACATGGGCACCAGGGACCCCCATGACCCAAAAGGAAGAAGCGGGTAAAGATAGTGGATGGATGGATGGAAAGCAACTTTATTTTGTGTGCTACTGGGAGCTACATGCCCAAAGGTAAGGATGGTTCAGTGGTCTACAGGAGCTGAGGAAGTAAACACCAAAACTGGATTATACCAGTTTTTAGGTAGTTTTACTACCTACAAAACCCTCAACAACCTAGCTCCATCTTATATTACAGATCTTATTGTTCTATATTTTCCTAACAGAGCACTTCGCTCTCAGACTGCAGGTTTACTTGTGGTTCCTAGAGTTTCCAAAACCAGAATGAGAGGCAGATTTTTCAGTTATCAGACTCCTCCTTTGTGGAACCAACTTCCAATCTCTGTCCATACGGCTGACACATTGTCTAGTTTTAAGACTGGACTTAAGACTTTCCTTTTTGTTAAATCCTATAGTTAGGGTTGGCTTGGGTTTCCTGAGTTATCCCTTAGTTACGCTGCTATAGGCTTAAACTGCTGGAGGACAAACTGACCATATTTCTTCACTCTGCTACTGTCTTTACTTACTCTGCTCTACCTGTTTTGTATTTGTAATAATTATTTCTATCCTTGACATGTGTTTTTGTCTTTCAGTTACACCTGCACCTACATCTGGACCTGTCATTCTGTGTTTGTTTGTCTCTCCTTCCTGTCCTCTCAAACCCAGCCAGTCAAAGCAGATGGCTGCTTGTCCTGAGCCTGGTTTTACTGGAGGTTTCTTCATTTTGAAAGGGAGTTTTTCCTTTCCACTGTTGCCAATGTGCTTGCTCAGGATGGGAGACTGCGACGAAGTGAATATTCAACAAGTCTGCTGGCTTCCGTAGACAGAGAACTTTACTAATTGGCTTTTCTATGTATGTGAATGTTGCTGTAAAGTGCCCTGAGACAAGTTTGTTGTGATATGGCGCTATATAAATAAACTGAATTGAAATGGGTGACAAATCATCAAATCAAACCCTACCGCTACTGCTGCCATGCACACAAACGGATCAACATCTGTGGAACATGAGTCTTTTTTCCACCCTCTATCAACTCCCATCTCTTCATCTCTCCTCCCCCCCATTTTGTGAAGGCTGAGTGTTTTTCTGAAGTGCTGTCTCCATCTCCAATCTTTCTTTCTGGCCCCATCCACGATCCTTCCAAGTCTTCCACTCTTTGAAAAGTAAGGAGTCTAACCATTACAGCGCCACTCTTGCAGACACACTCACACAACGTCTCTGTGGTGACTGGGAGCTCCTGTTTTGCTTGCATGTATTTATGTTGCTATGGTGGTAATCAATATGTCTGCATCAGTGTCTCCAAAAACAAATTCCTGGTCAATGATGGTCCATTTGAAACTAATTTGTGTTATTATCCAGACACACATGGAAAATATCTAAAAATTTGTTAGACGGATTTTAATAAAACTCTTGGAAAGTAATCATTTGATGCCCGTCTACAAATGATTACAAATGAGTCTGCCTGATTCAAGATGGCTGCCATGCCATGACTAACCACAGTACTTCTGACAAATTCATGAAACAACTAGATTGCTTTCAACTCTTTACGTTGCCCATCACTGTTTTGCACATAATGCGACAACTTCAACTTAAAAAGTTTTTTTTTTAAACCATGTCTTGACAGTGACGAAAACAGAGAGGCAGTTTAATAAACACTTAAAGGGCTCAGGGTCCAAATCTTCTGCTGGCCAAGTCCTACCAACAGGGTTTAAAAAAACAAACAAACAAAAAAAACTAAAGTGTTTGGTAATTTATATTTTACATCTTTCAAATTTTCTTGGGCTCCAATTAATGCAGCTTATGAACTGATTAGCTTATCTGAACTCCATTAACATTGAGAACATATTGGAGCATGTTTAAGGATGAAACAAGAGGAAAGAAAAGTTATCAGCTGGTACAACTTGTTTGTTGGTACACTAGCACTTACAAACAACTCAAATACACACACACATAAACACACAAACACACAGTGAAACTCACAAACCCTGTCCTGAGTGACTCCAACAACAACTTTTAACGGTAGATTCCTAAAAGTAGCACTGAAGGAGAAAACATATCTCCTTATATAGGAGTGGTTCATGTGAAAAGATGCTAAATGAGAATTTGGACTGATTAGAGAGGCTTTTTTTTTTTACTGTTCACAATGCAGTTTCCTTAGTTGATTAATTTGAGACATATAGTTTGACCTTTCTTAAACAGAGTTTTTCTACAACCACAAAATGAATAATTTATTATGGGATAAGAGACTACACATTTTGCGTAAATAAGTTGTTGCCAGTGGAAACATTAGTCACTGCAGTAGTTTTCCAGTGAGAGCCTCCTACTTATTTGCTTACTTAATTCCAGGTGCTGACTATTTTTTTGTGAGGGGTGCTAGCGGGCAATGTGTATTCAGATCAGGGAAACTTCTGTGAAAGTTATACATAAAAACAATTCACTTGAGCACAAAGCGCTGACATGGGTCTGTTTCACCATCTGTATATTGGGTTGAGCTTTGCAAGTACCTTTGGGAAATATGCTGCTGAAATGTCCCCTCACACACTGACCTCTAAACCTCTACAGAACAATGACACGCATACACCCACACACATGAACGTAGATATATGTCTAAATACAGACTGTTTGCTTAAGTGACTGACAGCTCAATGAGACACAGCAATGGCAAACACAGGATATGATGTCTACCTAAAACTATGAATAAAGTATATTTAGTCAAGTGTGTGGGTGCTTGTGTTTGTTTTCCCGTCAGGATCTTTTCTGGTATAATAACTGACCTCAGGCCTTACTCAATAAATGCCAGTCAGTGCACTATCCTAATAAGGGTAGATGCTTATGCATATGTGGATCTGTGTGCTCCACTGTGAGTGGGAAGAGTTGGAGAAAAAGTGAGAGTGATGAAGAGTCGAAAAAAAAAGGCAGACGCATTTTGTGGGCGTATGTTTGTGTGGGTGTATGTAGCAGTAGATAAGTGTGGGTGTACGGGACTAAAACCAACTGCTGAATATCACGTTCACAACCAGGAACAAAATGAATCCATTTGGCCTCTTGGACAACACTGTACACACAGACAACACGAGTATGTGCTTCGTTATGATATTCCTCCTGAAGAGAGGTTAACAATTAATTATGACTTTTACACATTCTTCTCCCAGTGCTGGGGAAAAAGGGTCAACTTTAAAATCAACGATTTTCTTTTTCTTTAACTTGTTTCTTTAACTTTTATCACTTGTTTAGTATTTCCACAGTAACGCACAAATTCAGAATAGAATTCAAAATCTTACCCTCAACAACCTAGCTCCATCTTATATTACAGATCTTATTGTTCCATATTTTCCCAACAGAGCACTTCGCTCTCAGACCTCAGGCTTACTTGTGGTTCCTAGAGGTTCCAAGAGCAGAATGGGAGGAAGATCTTTCAGGTATCAGGCTCTTCTCTTGTGGAACCAACTTCCAGTTTCTGTCTGTAGGGCTGGCACATTGTCCAGTTTTAAGACTGGGCTTAAGACTTTCCTGTTTGATAAATCCTATAGTTCACCCGCTTCGAATGTTATCAGCCATTAAATGGCCGTTATTAGATGTTATCATCCCCAAAGGTTCTGTTCAGACTGTCCCTCCTGTGCCTCCTAGTAGGTTTAAAGGTATGTTCTTATTGCTGATAATAGGGTCAGGTGGTTAGGTTAAAGGTCAAGGGTCAGGGGGTTAAGTTTAGGGTCAGTGCTCAGGGTCAGGTGTAAGGTTAGGTTTAGGAAAAGGGTTAAATAAAGTTTACAAAAAAAAAACTTGGTTTTAGATGCGGGCAAAGCTGCATATCATCAGCGATAAGAACGTACCTTTAAACCAACTAGG